ACATCCTGAGAAAGCTGTCTGGTTATTTGCTACAAGATTTTAGATCATGCTGTAGATACGATTTAAATATTAAAACCAAAAAATTGAATATTGCATTTCTATTCTGACAGCTACACAAAACACTTATACATGCATCTTATCAGGCACCCTAAAAACACATAAAGCCTTTCTTTTTGCTAGTTTTACATGTATCATTTGACAGCCAGTACATGGGACAAAGGGAAGAGTACATTTGTCATGTCACATTAATTTTGAATGCAAAAAAAACTTTTATTTACCTATTTCTTAGGACAGAATCTGACTCCATGTAGTCTTCTAGAACACCTTTCAGTTTTTGCTCTGACTTTTCCAGCTCTTTTATTCTGAGGTTCAAATTCTCTTCTCCAGCACTGTTTACTTGTTCATCAGGTATGCTTGCATCTTCTAATTCCTGGAAAATCCAGGAAGTATCAGTTTTAACACTGAAATTCAGGATATCAAATCCTTCATTACTGCGCATTTTAATACAGTAACAAAATTCTTGTTCTCTCCCAGATGAAGGATCCATGATGAAAAAATGCCAAATTATTAGGTTCTCAATGTACTGCAGTCTAAGCATGCAATAAAGGAGTCTAAGCCTCTGATGATCAAATGAACAGTCCTTCTCGATTCTGAACACATATATTATTTATGATAAAGTCTCATTTCATTAGCCCCAATGTAATTCAGCATGTATGAAAGGAGCTGCAGTTCACAACATGAGATCCCCATAAATGATTCAATTAGACTAATTCATGGAGTTAGGCATCAAAGTTTTGACAACAGGATAATTTTCTACTAAATAGAGGAGTTCATAAAATTGAGTATGTTTATCACAAAAGAAAAATCATACTTATTTTGGATAAATGTATGATATTTTTATTGTTTCAAGATACAACATTTAAAAAGGATATTTCCTATTCAAAAGGCAATCTGTGACTATTTCAGAGAAACATTCAGTATATTTAACTGGTATTTTGGAATTCTGCATTCAGCATTTTACTTAGAAGTCTACTTCACCTCTGACAGGTGCCTAAAAGGAATTTTTAAACTTGGGCTTGGGAAGGCAAGATAAGTTTGGTTCTTTTCCTTTGCCTCTTTTAGCAATAGGTCTAAAAGTTCTTCAGCCTGCCGTTCACCTTCATTTACAGAAACTCTCTTCAGTAAGTTTAGTCCTATAACCGGCATCTGTGAAATACCTTTGCTTTTGCTACATTTGTATTGATTTGGAATTGGATCTGTAATTGGAATTCAACTACTAAGTTTGGACCTATTCTCCAGGAAATAATGCAAATACTTTTTTTTCTTTTCTTTTCTTTTGTAAACAAATGCTGAATCTACAGGGTTACAGAAACTCTCTTCAGTAAGTTTAGTCCTATAACCGGCATCTGTGAAATACCTTTGCTTTTGCTACATTTGTATTGATTTGGAATTGGATCTGTAATTGGAATTCAACTACTAAGTTTGGACCTATTCTCCAGGAAATAATGCAAATACTTTTTTTTCTTTTCTTTTCTTTTGTAAACAAATGCTGAATCTACAGGGCGAAGAAGAAGAAGAAGAAGAAGAAGAAGAAGAAGTAGTAAAAGGTAACAGTTCTTTTTGCCACTGAAAGTAGAAAATAGCACAAAATCAGTGCAAAAAGAATAAACAAACAGTTCTTCTCTTATTGTCCCATGTTTTGATATGTGCTATTCACATATATGGCGAATTACATAAAAATTTATTATTTTGGCCCATTGTATCACTCACTTATGTCAGCCACACAAGGACATAGAGCTGAAAAGATTCAGCCACTCCTCAGTCCCTTGAGAAGCCATGATACTTAAAAGCTACAAGTATGGAAAGACAAAGAAAGTATAAATCCATATGGACAACAAAGTTCAAACTACTTTGTGATCTTCTCTAGTCTTACCAAGCCCAGTCCCTCCTCAGAGACCATGCATTCCCGAGACCCGTCAACATAATCATGGCTCTCCCCTGGCCCGTATAATTTGCCAAATGGAACAGTATCTTTGATTTTTAGCTCCTTGAGACACAATATTTTCTCTGTATTTATTATTTGCAAAGTGAATAGACATCCTGCTCCCTGACAATGGGCATCCCTGAACACCACTGCAAAAGGAATATATAATAATAGTGGACATTGTTACTCTGCTTATTAACAATTTACAGTGGAAGCCAAGTTCATGTCATTTTCATCTCTGCCCCAGTCTAGTATCCAACTCATAAGCTGTAAAAAGAAAAATTCTTAGCGGTATATTTTGCAGAAAGTAGCCAACAGATAAAAGTGGAGAGGATGGACCAGGCAGGAAATAAACTGACACTTAAAATCATTACACTGATTTCCACTCACATGTTTCTATTACATGTTCTTGTTTATAAGTGCATTTTTATTCACTGATATAATGGAAGTTAATACAACAATTTCTAAAGTTGATCTCAAACCTCATGATCCATTAGGCCTCTACACTTCTGCTGCTTCATCCTGAAAACTACTGAGTACTTCAGCATAAAATGAGGAAAGCTGTTACGACTGATATCAGAAATGAGAAACTTATTGTTTCCTTATTTGCTTATATAGCTGGGAGAGATTATTGAAAACCTGTGTCACAGAAAATAAAAATCAGGCCCAGCATCTTGCATGGACTGAGTATAGTCATTATACCTGTTCCCAGCTCTATAATAAATATCAATATGCAATGGATAGTAAGACTGGAAAGTTTTCCAAAACTACAAATTCTGCTAGCTCAGCACAGAATAAAAATATCATCAATGCCATGGAAAATGTCACCCAAATCAGCCAGTTTCTTTGAGAAAACTATCATGTGAATTACAATGAAGCAAAACACATTAAAAAAAAAAAGAAGAAAATGAAACTGCTCGTACCTTTTCTGCTTTGTAACAAGACCATTTCCTGTCTCTGCAGTGCGCTTACCGTTGCAGCCACATGCTGTGACCATCCCACGTTTGTGCTCATAGTTTCTTTTCCAAAGCAGCGATGAGCAAAACTATATCTATGAGAAAAAAGAGTGTTTCTTTGCCAAGTGAATCACACTTTCCAATTTCTGTTCCTTCATCAGCATCTGGTTTGGTTATCCCAAGCTCTGTTTATCTCCAGTTATGGTCCTTCTCTTCAGAGTAATGCCAAAACTCTTGCTTTTGCGGTGGAGACTTTCCACATTCCGTCATCACACCGCTAAAAGCTTTAACTAAAACATGAAAAATCTGTATTTGAAAACACATTCTCTAAATGCTTGTTCCTTTTGAACAACACATTGTGAGCAACACATTCTTTTGGGGATCGAGTTTCCAAACTTCTGCATGATCCTTGTTTCCAATTTAAATTGTGCTTTGTACCAGGAAACGGTTATTCAGACCCTCACATGAGCCACAGTTTGCTGCCTCTGACTGAATTACTCTTGTGAAGTGCCTCAGCTCCTTCAGCCGGTAAATGATCTCATCTGGTGATTCTTTGTGAAGAGTACATCCCTGGTCTTACTTCAGAGCCTAAAAATTATCTGAGAAAACTGGCTTCTTTTGAGGCTGATTCCTGCACCTCCAACAGTGAGATATTCAGTTGTTATGACAAAACTTTTCCTCAGTTTTCTTTGTGCTGCCTGGGTTGTTCTTTGCCTCATGTTATTGTTTTCAATCATAATTTCCACCTTGTCTGATGTATTATCGTAACCATCTTATTCCACTCTACATTCATGTTGGAGTCCAGTGTGTCCATGGGAGCAGATTTATTTCTCTGTAGCGTTTTATGTAGCCCTTTTAACACAAAGATGATTTTCAAGAAAATGTGAGGGAGGAGAAAGTTATCTTTTAATATTGTGCTCTTAATATTTTGAGCTTGCCTCAACTTTCCAGAAATAATTAAAATTATCTATTTCTTCATATTGCCTTTCCAGCTCTGAAACAATGATTTGCTTTTCCCTCTTTGAAAGAAAAGCCTAACCTTTTTGAATTTTCTAACCATTCTCCATCTTAAACAACCCTTTTCAACTTTAATTTTTTCAATCTGTGCTTCACCCAAAATTTTTCTTGCAGTTCAGGTGGTCAATGTCCTTGACTGTTTATCTACCTCTGCTGGTTGAGGTTGTGCTATTTTTGCTTCCTGGTTGACTTAATGTCAACATTTTTTTATTTCACCTGGGAGGATGCCATGATTTGCAAATATTTATTTCCAACTCTTCCTCTGCTTATCACATTTGTCTACACACCCATTTCTTCAAGCCCCTCTTTCTTCTTGAAGAGATAACTGAGCACAGCGCATCATGCATTCTCTTTTCCTGACCTCTCAGGCCACCTCGGGATCTTCCATTCTCCCAGTGCTATCTTTACAAGTTATTGCCTTAATTTTCAAGAAACATTCAAAAAATCATTCCCCCCACACAGTTCTTACTCACTTCAAAGTTTTCTTAGTTCAATCTACCATCTTGCCTTTCTCCAAAACCCATCTCTTCTCCATCTGTGGATTTCCAGCTTATGAATTTAGTATGAATTTTACCACTGCAGGGTTGTAAATCTCTATTTGTTTCCAACTTCGAACAGTTTTTTCCTGTCAGCTATTTACTATAGAGAACTTATTGTCAAACACTTAGCTTTTTTATATAGATATTAAAAAGGAGATCCTGTGTTTCCTGGGTGAAATGCAAACGACGTTTGTTGAAAGCATGCAGTATGGAGACAAAGATCTCAGTACTGTAAGAAAACCATTTGGTAGATAACAGTTCACATAGCAGCCAGTAATTGCACTTGTATTTTTTCCAGTGTTTGATTGGTGTGAGAGTGTAAATTCTGTTTAGATTTTTTTTCAGTGTTTATGATGTGCTGGTCCTTATTTGATTATCAAATCATTCCAGCTTGAAGCTATACCTTTAAAAAAATCTCTAATTTTTAATTCAAATATTTTGCAGCTTCAAGTATTATGCAAACTGTTTTATGAAAAAAAATGCACCATTTTAAAGCTGCTCAATAAATATTTTCTATATTTTTGCACGTGGACTCAGCTGTTCACTCCATAGGTTCTTTTAATAGCCTGTATACAAACAAAAACAAAAACAGAAAACAAAAACAACAAAAAAAAGAAGTCTGCTGAGCTTTAGATAGGTAACATTAATTTAGAAATAAGTGTTGGCATCCAGCCCTAAATTCACAGACACCACAATTTCTTTCTAAAAGTTTTATATTAGCTTTGAAATAACAAGAACCAAAATTACTATCAGTAAACCATCTGGTTTGCCTTGAAATAATGAACAATGTTCAAGAGTCCGTCTATAGTTAAGTCCCTTAAAATAGGCTTTGCTGTGTTACATTAATCAGAGACACAGAGTCACCTCTGGCAAGATGAGTTAAAGGAAATTGCCCTCCACACTAGCACCATAATATGATGTGCACTCCTAGAAACGTGAGAGTTGAGCAGCTATACGGCTACACAACCGTTACCCCTGTGTTATCCCCTCAAAATGCTTGTCACCAGCCTTAAATTTAACTACTTAAATAGTTGCTGTTAACAGGAAGAATAGCGGGTTGTATCAGCACAATGTATTTTCTGGAGACTAATTACACTTGTAATTTTTTCTCTTTTTTTCTTTTTTTCTTTTTTTTTCCCCCAAAGGGGACCCATAACTATCAGCTGTATCAGCACGGAAGCCTATAGATCAGGCCTAAGCCTTGAATTCATAAAAATTTTTGAACTAACAGTATTTCAAAATATTTTAAATGAAATTTTTAAAATGCTGGTGATCTCATTAAGTTTACAGAATGTATATAAAGTGTCTCTAAACTTGGCCAGTATACTTTTCACAGTGTTTAAAAACAGGTATGTTGATCCAGATGTTAGCACCTCTAACCAGGACTGGAGTAAAAAAGCTGGATGAAACTCAAAGACAACAGTTTAGTGACTTCCTTTAACATTATTCTTTCAAACTTATATTAATCAAAATAGCATCTGTCCCTTCCGATCTCCACAGAACAGAAAAATGAGCTCAAACTGTGGTAAGGTGAATAATGTACCACAAAGCTTCTCCTTTCTTCAAAAACATCTCTATAAGCATATGCTCAATTTTTGACAAAATAAAGGAAATTTCAAAAGGAATGCTCAAAATGCTGTAAAAATATTGCTCAATTCCAACTAATTTTCAACACCCATCTAGCAACCAAAAGAAAGCTACTGCACTTATAACAAATCAATAATACCCTTGGATTACATTCCACCCATCTGCATCTACCATAATTTTATTGCAAAATATAAAACATATGCAGCAGTGCTAGTAATGAAAGACCAGAGCCAGTTGTCAAGAGCATGAACAGAAAGATGATAACTGAACGTACTGGGAGCTGAATAAACCCCCAAAAGAGCCCATGATAACACAGGTCTGATTTTTCAAAAGTACTTGTGATCTGGGCAGAAGAAAATACTGTTTCAAGCTTAATGTAAGGTAAATATAATAGCTTTTTCGGGTAACTATTGTCACCATGCTTCTTCATCATACAGTGCTTAACAGCAGTTTCAAAGGGGTTGATTAACCACATCTCCTACTATAAGGAGATTCCACAAACATAATTCACAACAGATTCCAAAGAAGAAAAAACTTGGAAAAACTGTAAAGGTAAAAACATTGTGTATTTTCAGTTTAAAATAAAAAACAAAACAAAACAACAGCAGCAACAACAAAAAGACTGTGTAAATATTCAATAGTTTTAAACCATAGCTTAATCCTCTAACAGTTAGGTTGTTGAGTTACCATCCTTACTGAAAGGCAGCATGCAACTTGCGTTGCTCCAGGGAAGAGGGCTAGGACTTGTATGTTCCCTCTTGTTCTGTGTGAAAGGTGAGCACTGCAACTACAGCTCCTGCTATAGCTGAAGAAATTAACTCTGTCTTTTGCATTGAGCTGAAAGGACCGGGACACTGTGGAAAGGATAGTGGGAATGATGGTAGTGTCTCAAGGGAGAGACACAGGGGTTTCTTATCCTTGCCCTTTCCATGTTGCATCGGCACATGGAGGGTCAGTCACATTGCAACCTTCACATTGCCTCATAAAAGGGAAATTAGGTTATTATTTCCTAAGCTATTTCACGGCTTCAAAGATCTTGAGGAAGTAAAATGAACCCCTTTTTTGCATAGGTGGTGACGCTTACAGGGCTTTTTAGAAAACAAAACTGAAAGCCAAACAGTGTTTGCCACCTCCCCATCCTGCATGACAGAAGGAAGGATCCTACAGCAGTACCTGAACTTTAGACAAAATGTACCCGCTCTGCAGAATTGAAAAGCACCCACTGCAGTTAGGGCAGTCAGTATCTTAGAACGCAAAATCATTTCTTGTTGAAAACTCAGTGACCTTCTGCAGAAGTCTAGGAAGGTAACTGAAGGCATCCAAGTTGGATTTTATAGGTGACTATTCCTCTCTGTGCAAGCAAAACCAGTAAACCCTCCCCCGTGGTTTCAGGGTCTTACGAAGACAATTCTCAAAACATGGCAAAATCTAAGAGTTAAAAATTGAGTACAAAGAAATATCAAGAATACCAACCACACGTCTTGGCTCAGTTGTGTCATCAAGGCCACAGAATGAATGCTAGTGAAAAAAACAAAAAAAGGAACAAAAACTATAACATAAGATCAAAAGAAAATGAGGAAAAAAGAAAAGAAGAAAGATGTAAGATATGTAATATGAAATCCAATGACATTACAGCAATTAGTCTTACATCAATATTAATTGAGTTGATCTGAAAGAGAGATACAGTACACCAATCTTACTCTAAAAAGGGGTAACAGGGTACAAAATTCAGTATTTGAGGGCAGCTTTACAAACGGTAACATCTGTGGTTTATGTAACTTCAGAAACATTAGGCTCGGCTCTGTGACAGTTCAGCAAGTTATAATTACACACCTGAAAGCTTTCCTGAACCAAGACTTACCAAGCCAAGGGCACAAACTAAATGCAACTTAAAGGGTAGAGAATCAGTTATGAGAAAAGCATGACGTATTTAAACAGCATTTGTTCCTCATGTATCAACTCATAGAATAAAACTGAGATTTTACATTATTCTTTTGTATAGCCTTTAGAAGCAGGACAGTTTGCTGAAGAATCTATAGGGCAAAAATACTGTCATCTTTATGTTCTGATTTGACAGAATTTTACATAAAACTTAAAACTTGAATCCATTGCTAAAGGAAAATAAAAAGCCACACTCATGACTAACTATAAGCGGTGCATTGCCCTTAGCTACAACTAGCAATGAGGCTCAGCTATAAATACTGCCCTTCCTTCAGAAGCATAAGACTTCTCTACACAAGAAATTATCGTGCTCAGTATCAGTGGCATGTAGGTGTAAGTCTGCACCCACTGACATATTAAACCTACAGAAGAACAATGAAGTAGAAGTATATCATTCATTGATTCTCTGACAACACAATCTTCCTTCGGGCAGTCAAATTCAGAATGGGATTTCATCCCAAGGAAAAAAAAATCAAATGTAATACAGATAGAAGGAAGCCCTCCACCCATCCAGGAGTTGAAGGATAACAGAAAATGATGAAGCTTTTTTGAGGTCTCCTGCTAATGTACCATTAAGGCAAAGAGAACGTTAATCATTTTACCTCATTACCAGCTTTCTGCTAAGCTTGTGATTAAGCTGTTTCTTTTCCAGTACTTTTCCCCATCCATTGCACAGATGAACCAGCACAGATAATGCTAAATTCCATTTTCAAAATTAGCAGTCTGTCTAATCCAATACCTACTCTGTAAACTGTAATGGCAATGATTAAAGGCTTACATTTTGGCAATAGCAACATCTAGAGATTTTGATGTTTTAGAATAGGTGGATAAACACTAATATTTGCAGTAATTAACATGTAGAGATATCACCTATCCCTCAAGGTTTCTCTACCTTGAGGAGTTAACTGTAGCATCTTAGACATCACTGGCTGCTAGGGAGAAACATCTTCAGGTATAGAAGTGGTCCGGGGCAGAAGAGGGCAAAGGCAGCAAAAGAGCCCTTTAAAAGGGGTGGATACTGCCTATGTTTCTCTGCTAGTGGAAACAGGGACCACTGCCTCCCCAATGGATACAGACAGACTAGCCCCAGCCAGGGAGTAGTGGGGGGTGATGTTAAGTGACAATTAGAAACAGCAGCAGACAGCCCAGCTCCTCACAGCTCTTCTCCTGGCTCTTCCACAAACCCAGCTGGATATCACAGTTCAAAAAGTGCAGGATGAGGTACTGCAGAGGGGAGACAACTACTGTGGGAGCAGAAGGGGCCAAGGAAGCTGCTGAGGGAATTGGAGTAGCTGCTAGAAGTGCGATACCCCCAGAGGGTGACACAGGAGGGACTGCCACATCCTGAGAGCAGATGAAGGGACAGTGAGATTAGTGAAGGGTGAGGAAGAAACCTTCCCACATCCAGCGCACTGCTCCTCAAAGCCTCTCTCAGTTCTGCAGACCCCACTGACCTCTTCCAATTCCCTTTCAGAGTCCCCCCAAAGCCTTCCTTTTGCTCTTTTATCCTGTTCTGATCCCAAAAGAAAAAAACAATGACTGAAAACTCCCCTAACTTCTCCATTCAGCCCAGCAGCAGGTACGTACCCATATGTACCGGAGAAAATGAACCTGAGAGGATGTGACTCATCTTGGGATCTAGGCACTGGTTTAGCAAAAGCAACGTAACTAAAACACTTTGCTAGAGCTTAGAGAAAACCCCATTGTCAGCCTATGCCCTGCAGAACAGCCTAAACTCCACAGACCTGGGAAACACTTGAGCCCATGGTCCAGGAAACTCGTACCATCTCTTGCTTGGGACCACAGTGACCCAAATTTTGCTGTCTTTAGCCTCAATCAGAGCTCCTTCAAAAGAGGAGAAAATTTGGATCCAGAATATTAATTTGGAACCTGTTTCTATCTTAAAGCAAGAAATATTTTTTGTTTGCAGTGTTCGCCACATGCACGTCTAACTTTTTTTTAATTTTCAGTATTTGCAAGTTTTGCAAAGCAGTATTATCCGAAGAACAGGGCTGAGCTAACCGCTCCTGTCAAACAGAACCAAATCTTTATGTTGTTTCTTGATCTAAACCACAGCAAATCCTCCCCCTTCTCATCTAGTGTCTTTCCAGACCCCTTGATTCCTTTCAGTACTTGATAGAAAACCCAGATAGCAAATAATTTTGAGCAGGGGACAGAGCTTCATTTCATGCAGCAATGACTTGAACTCAAACTTTCTCTCTCTTGTTTTAAAATAGATTTCATGATATTAGGTTAAGTACTATTAACGTCAATGCAACAGAGAAAAATAAATTAGTATGGAAAAAAAATACCCATTGGCATTGCCCAGGCGTTTATTTACCTTTTCCTCAATTTCTTTGAGTTGCCTCTTTTGAAGTTCTATTTTATCTTCTAGTTCTCGAATTCGCTGGAACAGGAAAAAGCAAAATAGAAATTATTATATCTAATTTGAAAAGTATATGAATCAAAAAGATAAGAAATAGATTAAAAACTAAGAGAACAAATGCCCATTATTAATGTAATACTTCCTTTACAGTTGTATTAGGCATGTTCATGGCAGGATTGCTCCACGTTCCCATGAAACCATGGCATTTTAAACAAGCTGCACATTTAGAACATCATGTTTACTACAAGGAAGCCTAATCATCACCACTCATTAATCATAATTTTAACATATACACACAGACAATTCCAATTAGCATCAAAATTCTTAGAAGTACAACACTTCTTTCTCTGCAACTACTGGAAGTTTTTCTACTTACCTAGACAGTCAGCAGATTATACTATTACATTTCATTTTAACTCTCTACTTTAATTTCCTGTAAAACATAACCATGCTTCTGGCATAGTCACGCCATATCAGAAAAACAGAGCGCACAGATTTTCAGATCATCACCAAGTCACCATCCAGAGATTCAGCTCCGTCTTATTACCGGAGCCACCTCCCACCAGAGTCAGAAGGAATGTCTCCTTCAGTGTAGCTCTCTGTATTTTTAAGGATTTTCCTTGTTCAGTTCCACAGAAGTTCTCCAAAAATATGACTGTTGTTGGATCCACATATGCTATCTTATTTCTGTCCCCTTGTTTCCTTTCTATGAGTTACACTTCCTTGCTTTTTCTTTTTTTTTTTATTTTTCTGCACTTCTACATTAAGAAGATGCATTTTATTACACTTATAGTATATTGTACTTGTTACAGATAAAGTAAGTTCATAAATACTTTTTTTATAAGCAGAAACCTGAAATCTCCTACTAACAGCCACTGCGAATCAAGGGGCAACTTATATACTGTCAGCTTTTTTCAGGATTAACTTCCTGACCTTTGCCGGGCCTACAATAGTTAAGGTTATTAGCAATTTCTGAACTTTGAAAGAGAAATTATCATTTAGTCTAATTTCTATGCATAGGCAAATAAAATTAATGTAGCAGCTGCTGCATCACTCCCAAATCAACTACTCCCAAATTGACTTGAACAATAGTATCTCTTTCAAAACAACATCCAATCATTATTTATAAACCTGTGTGATCAACTGACGTTGACAGTTGATTCCCTGCATTCAATTCAAAGACCTCAAATAGTGGGAAATGCCCCATACTCGTGGTAGCCCAGGACAGTCGCAGCAAGGCAGCAGCTGATCCAATGACCATTTTGTATTGGTTTTGAGAACTACAGAGTTTGGCCTGAACATTTCAAGTCTAACCTGGAGCTACCCCAAAGATGAGATACATCCACCCTGCAGTTCACCTTGCCTAGGGCATACTAGTCTCCACACAAATACCGCAGACAGGTCACAAGCAATAGCTTTGTTATTGTTGCTGCTGTTTTAAAATAAAAGATTTTGCTTAAATGACTGTTTTGAATGTTATGCAGTCAGAATAAGTCAGTCAAAACCTCCACTGTATCATGCTGCATTGCTCAGAGATTTCCCCAGATATCATAAAAGCACAAACCAGATTACCCGCGTGTGACACGAGTGCATGCAGTTTTGCTGACAGTAACAAATGCCCCGAGCACAGCTGTATTAATTTCACTCTATTACATTTGAACTGATTTATACTTCATCTACTCCCTGCTCAAGGCAAGTCTCTCTCTCAAACGATCATCTTCATATACTGCATGTACCAGGGATATTACAATCACTGTAAAAAGCCACGGGATGAGAAGCAGGCAGATGTAACCACCTCTGAGACCTCTGGTCCATCGGGTTACACTCTTGTTTCTCTCCCACTCATTTCAGTTATGCTGATTCCTACTTACAACCACATCCCAGAGCTGAGTGATAGACTTCAGTTCTCTGGGGGTCCTGCTATGCTCTGTGATAAAATTTGACCATGGTGAGATAAGTGGAGAGAAGCAATATTTTTAAATACTATTTTCACCTTCAAGATTCATCATGTGAGATATTTTTTCAATATCTGCTGAGAACTCACCTCCAGAAAAAAAGGAAAATAAAAAAGCCCCCAAACATCTGGTGGCTTTCTCACCTCAGGGTTTACAGCAAGTGTTCTTTTATAAAAGAACATGTTAATTAGGATAAGATGGCATTTTTCAGATTTGGGAATTCTGTTAATTAAGTAAAAATTGAGATGTTATTATTCCCTTATGAATTTTTAATCTTTTCAAAAGATTATAGCTATTCAGCTATTCTCTCCAGCTATTCAGAATAGTTCTTAAAAAAAGGGCTGAGGCTTCTGTTTTCCAATTCCCACCCATAACCCATCATAATTGTTAAACTTTGTGAGACAAAAGATAGAGAATAGTTTTAAGGTGAAGAAATATACACTTTCCTAAAAGTCAGTTTAAATACAAAGACAACCTAGCAATTAAAAGGGAATATGAATAGGATTGAAGTTCTTAACAGTGAAAATCTACAAAAAAATCCTCAAAACAACTAGATTTATGTCAGTAAGACAGATATATACAGGGTGGATATAGCCTGTAGGGCAGATATTTATGTGTATACGTGTGTATATGTAGACCTGTTCCAGACTTGTCACCTAAAGATAATATGTTGAAGACAGGTGACTAGTGTTTAAATAGCTAGTATTCCCCTTATATGAGTGGAAATCACAATGACAGAAGACTTATGCTGCAAATGAGTAAGATTTTGTAACCAACTTCTTTACTACAGAAATTAAGAGTTCAAACCTAGACAGGTCAGAATTTGTTCTAAAACACAAACGCGGGCTGGAATTTTCCATCAGGTATCAAAGCTTGGGGTTGTTTACTTCTGGTTGTTTACTTGCTTTCCCCTGGAGTATTGTAGGGAGGCTTATCCAGGAGGATGAAGTGGGCGTAGCTATTCCCATCAACACCCTCTGATTGCACAGGGTCAGCACTGGAAGATAACCAGCCTAGCTCAGCTATATATATATCCTGAAAAATCTGATTTAACTCATTTCTTTGCATGTAACTGCAGAGACGGCCTTAAAAATATACACGTATATATGCAATATATTGGCAGGAAAAAACAGATTTACATCTGCATACAGTATTTAACACATTAAAATAATTCTTTTCCCTATTGTACTTATCTGTGTTTACAGTATTACCTTGATCATAGAAAGATAACAATTTCCAAAATATGACTTTAAAAAATACATGTAAGCTACATGCAATAATCCTAGCTTTAACAAAAAAGTACCTTCTAGAAGTAGCAAGAGATGTTCCTCAGTCAAAGGTTATATTAAACTACTGAGAAGGAAATTACAGAGAAGGAAATTACAGAAAAATTACACATACTAATTAAGACCAAAGGCAGGACTGCTTGAGATTCAGTATAAGCATTTGCATCTTTATCTACTGTTCCTTTTATTTGCAAGAATTAGCAATCAAGAAGCTGTGGACTCACTCTCAGGTTTTCAACACTTGATTAGATGCTTTCAATAAATTCTGATTTGTTTATGTTTGCAAAAGCATAACTGTGACAACAAATCACACAGAACTATTTCATTGTTATCAAGAAATTCTACCTACTTTCATGCTTCAGGGCATAAATTGATGATCAGTAAGCCAAGCTTTTCCTCCTATGTCATATAGAGTTATAACAGTTGTGCTATAAAAGATGCGTTTGGCTCTATCCTTGACAAGGCTCTCAGGAACTTTGCAGGGTAAATATCCAGGGCATTTTCAACTGCACAAAAGACTATGTGAGGAAGCAACAAAATCTACTATATCTTGCTATCAAAACATTGAGAAGTCTTGGTTGAGAAGAAAGCCGCAGGCTGTTCTTTCGTTTATTCTCATTTTTTAAAAAGGGAGGGACAGAAGACATGGATAGATAATCTAAAACCAGTACAGTGTTTATGTTTCCTTTAAACCCACTAGCACTGGTCACAGTCAGAGTGAGGATTAGGGACAAAGTGGAGCCGTGTTCTGCTGGGTTCTAGCAATTCCTGTGTTCCTATGGTTAATAGCTGCCCCTCAGTCACGAGTGCACCTTTTCGGGACTGACAGGATTCATGAGAATAACACTGTGTTGTCAAATCATGGGGCCGTACAAAGGAATTACTGTAGGCAAACAAAGAGCCACAGTCAGACAAAAGTAGTGCAATGAAACTGTAACCATGAAAGAGAAGAGCGTAAACGTTAGGGACATGGATTCTTAGCACTGTCCACCTCGACCGCATTCAAAACCAACCTGCCAAAATAATGAATACTAATCTGTCATTGATTTTATTGCAATAGCAAATAAAACCTCACAAAACTTCAGGATGATGGATGGGTAGATTGGTGAATACTCCCTGTTACTACCTTCACCCGCATGGAGCTCCCCTGAGTTTCGGAAAGAGGGTTAGACGAGCATCCGTTTCAGTAGGGCAGGTACCTACTTGATAAATCATCCTTCCACTAGCAATGAAGTTTGCTGCCACTTCTGAGTAAGTGCTTGCAAGCATCCAGAAAGCAGCAGGGGCTGAAAGGGCCGTACTGCTGTACTGAGTTAACAGCAGATGGCTCTGCCGGCCAAGCTACGGCTGGAACAGCAACTTCAGCTCTGTCAGGAATGAGGCTCAGCTGTGAAACCATTTGCATTTCCAAACAGCTACAGAACAAAGACGCTAAAGATGTACAACATATGCCTTACTTAATACTTAACTGCAATTTGAACAGACTTTTAATTTCCATTATAAAATTTTTCTTAATAGTAGTTACGTATATATACAAAGGTAGGTGGCACAGCTATAATCCTGATAGACAGCCTAAAAATGCTAACAATTAGGTAAGAGAGAGAACATCCAGAAAGTTCAGGCAGCCAAAGCATACATTTCCTTTGGAAGTCTATAGTGCGAAGACTGGCATATGACTGAAAGTCTGCTAAAGCACCCCTAACATGGCACTATATATGAAATTACTTTACTGAACAGAGCCATAAAAGGGAAGTTTACCATCAGTCATTTCCAGTTGTAT